AAAATCTTGTTTCTCATGGTCTGAGAGTCCTTTAAGTGCCTTTTGGCAAACTCCAAGTGGGCTGTCATGTGCCTTTTATTGAGGACAGACTTCCGTCTGGCCACTCTACCATAAAGGCCTGATTGGTGGAGTGCTGCAGAGATGGTTGTCCTTCTGGAAGGTTCTCCCATCTCCACAGTGGAACTCTGGAGCGCTGTCAGATTGACCATCGGGTTCTTGGTCACCTCCCTGACCAAGGCCCTTCTCCCCCGATTGCTCAGTTTGGCCTGGCGGCCAGCTCTAGGAAGAGTCTTGATGGTTCCAAACTTCTTCCATTTAAGAATGATGGAGGCCACTGTGTTCTTGGGTACCTTCAATGCCGCAGAATATATTTGTACCTTGACACAATCCTGTCTCGGAGCTCTACGGACAATTTCTTCGACCTCATGGCTTGGTTTTTGCTCTGACATGCACTGTCAACTGTGGGACCTTATATAGACAGGTATGTGCCTTTCCAAATCATGTCCAATCAATTGATTTTAACACAGGTGGACTCCAATCAAGTTGTAGAAACATCTCAAGGATGATCAATGGAAACAGGATGCACCTGAGCTCAATTTCGAGTCTCATAGCAAGGGGTCTGAATACTTATGTAAATAAGGTATTTCTGTTTTGTATTTTAAATAGATATATGCAAAAAATTTCAAAAAACCTGTTTTCACTTTGTCATTATGTGGTATTGTGAGTAGCTTGATAAGGAATTTTAGAATAAGGCTGTAACGTAACCAAATGTGGAAAAAGGGAAGGGGTCTGAATACTTTCTGAATGCACTGTATATGCAATGAAGATTTCTTTAGTTGAGCAGTTGCAAATATATATATAAAAATGAGGAGTACCATTGTCCACTTCAAACCACATTGACAATTCTGACCCCACCCTCACCCGTATGACTCGATCGAACAGGAAGTCCATGATCCAGTTATGCAGATGTCCCTGAATGCCCAATGCACTCAACTTGATCAACAACCCTTCCCTCCACAATCTTTCTCAATGTCAAAATACACAACACTCATCACCTCTTTTCTTCTGCTTCTTCTGCTTCTTCTGCTTCTTCTTCTTCTTCTTCTTCTTCTTCTGTGGGTTTTATGGCCTACCACAACCCAAAAAGGTGTATTGCCACCACCAACTGGACGGCGTTGAAAAAAATAAGAAAATCCATATGTTATAGGGAAAACTAACTTAATCCACCCAAATAAAAATAGTACATTGACAAAAACAAAAACTCCCACTTCTTCCTTCCTTCAAATCTCCATATTTCCCTTCTCAGGCTCTACGGCCTGAGGGTGGTACGGCTAGTGACAATACTCCATGCAACTCCTCCACAGTGAAGTCTCAGTCCCACGTGACACTAATACGTCATGTAGACGTAGCGTTCACGTCGTGTACACGTGACACTGACACGTCTAATTGATTTAGCCCACTATCGTCTACAGATTTGATACACATGAACGACTATATTTAAATCCTATGAACTCCTCTATTTAAGTGAAAGTCATTGACACAACTCGTATTGGTTGTCTAACGCACTGAGAACTGGTAACAACACAGTCTGCGAGATAACGTATCATCCCATTAGGTGTTGAGGGAAAGCCAGATTACTTATAGGTTGGACGTCATTTTTTGTAGGCCATGATAACCAGAAATATACAAGCCGTAGGCTACACAATAGCTCAATGTGGCTACATCGGAATGTCGGCTTGCACTGGAAAAACTGTACGTTTCTAACATTTATGGTTGAGATTTAATTAATATAAATATAAACTATGACTTTTATTAACACGCAGGCGTTAGTAAGGCATTGGTATCACATCATGTCAGTCAAACGTTCAATGGTAGGCGACAGCCACATGGTGGTACTGTTGGCTTATATTTGGCCTTTATCACCCCAGTTTTTCGAGGTCCAGAGAGAGACATCCACAGGAGCTCAGCCATCCACACAAAGATGCGTATGCTGTGAGAAATGTACAACATGATCAAATCAAATCAAATTTTATTGGTCACATGCGCCAAATACAACAGGTGCAGACATTACAGTGAAATGCTTACTTACAGCCCTTAACCAACAGTGCATTTATTTTTAACAAAAAAAGTAAAAATAAAACAACAACAAAAAAAGTGTTGGAAAAAAAAGAGCAGAAGTAAAATAAAATAACAGTAGGGAGGCTAGATATACAGGGGGGTACCGGTGCAGAGTCAATGTGCGGGGGCACCGGCTAGTTGAGATAGTTGAAGTAATATGTACATGTGGGTAGAGTTAAAGTGACTATGCATAAATAATTAACAGAGTAGCAGCAGCGTAAAAAGGATGGGGGTGGGGGGGCAGTGCAAATAGTTCGGGTAGCCATGATTAGCTGTTCAGGAGTCTTATGGCTTGGGGGTAGAAGCTGTTGAGAAGTCTTTTGGACCTAGACTTGGCACTCCGGTACCGCATGCCGTGCGGTAGCAGGGAGAACAGTCTATGACTAGGGTGGCTGGAGTCTTTGACAATTTTGAGGGCCTTCCTCTGACACCGCCTGGTATAGAGGTCCTGGATGGCAGGAAGCTTGGCCCCAGTGATGTACTGGGCCGTACGCACTACCCTCTGTAGTGCCTTGCGGTCGGAGGCCAAGCAGTTGCCATACCAGGCGGTGATGCAACCAGTCAGGATGCTCTCGATGGTGCAGCTGTAGAATTTTTTGAGGAACTGAGGACCCATGCCAAATCTTTTCAGTCTCCTGAGGGGGAATAGGCTTTGTCGTGCCCTCTTCACGACTGTCTTGGTGTGTTTGGACCATGATAGTTCGTTGGTGATGTGGACACCAAGGAACTTGAAGCTCTTAACCTGTTCCACTACAGCCCCGTCGATGAGAATGGGGGCGTGCTCAGTCCTCTTTTTTTTCCTGTAGTCCACAATCATCTCCTTTGTCTTGGTCACGTTGAGGGAGAGGTTGTTGTCCTGGCACCACACGGCCAGGTCTCTGACCTCCTCCCTATAGGCTGTCTCATCGTTGTCGGTGATCAGGCCTACCACTGTTGTGTCGTCGGCAAACTTAATGATGGTGTTGGAGTCGTGCCTGGCCATGCAGTCATGGGTGAACAGAGAGTACAGGAGGGGACTGAGCACGCACCCCTGAGGGGCCCCCGTGTTGAGGATCAGTGTGGCAGATGTGTTGTTACCTACCCTTACCACCTGGGGGCGGCCCGTCAGGAAGTCCAGGATCCAGTTGCAGAGGGAGGTGTTTAGTCCCAGGATCCTTAGCTTAGTGATGAGCTTAGAGGGCACTATGGTGTTGAATGCTGAGCTGTAGTCAATGAATAGCATTCTCACGTAGGTGTTCCTCTTGTCCAGGTGGGAAAGGGCAGTGTGGAGTGCAATAGAGATTGCATCATCTGTGGATCTGTTGGGGCGGTATGAAAATTGGAGTGGGTCTAGGGTTTCTGGGATAATGCTGTTGATGTGAGCCATGACCAGCCTTTCAAAGCACTTCATGGCTACAGATGTCAGTGCTACGGGTCGGTAGTCATTTAGGCAGGTTATCTTAGAGTCCTTGGGCACGGGGACTATGGTGGTCTGCTTGAAACATGTTGGTATTACAGACTCAGTCAGGGACATGTTGAAAATGTCAGTGAAGACACTTGCCAGTTGGTCAGCACATACTCGGAGTACACGTCCTGGTAATCTGTCTGGCCCTGTGGCCTTGTGAATGTTGACCTGCTTAAAAGTCTTACTCACATCGGCTACGGAGAGCGTGATCACATAGTCATCCGGAAACAGCTGGTGCTCTCATGCATGCTTCAGTGTTGCTTGCCTCGAAGCGAACATAGAAGTGGTTTAGCTCGTCTGGAAGTCTTGTGTCACTGGGCAGCTCTCGGCTGTGCTTCCCTTTGTAGTCTGTAATAGTTTTCAAGCCCTGCCACATCCGACGAGCGTCAGAGCCAGTGTAGTACGATTCAATCTTAGCCCTGTATTGACTCTTTGCCTGTTTGATGGTTCGTCGGAGGGCATAGTGGGATTTCTTATAAGCGTCCGGGTTAGAGTCCCGTTCCTTGAAAGCGGCAGCTCTACCCTTTAGCTCAGTGCGGATGTTTCCTGTAATCCATGGCTTCTGGTTGGGGTATGTACGTACGGTCACTGTGGGGACGACATCATCGATGCACTTATTGATGAAGCCAGTGACTGATGTGGTGTACTCCTCAATGCTGTCTGAAGAATCCCGGAACATGTTCCAGTCTGTGCTAGCAAAACAGTCCTGTAGCTTAGCATCTGCGTCATCTGACCACTTTTTTATTAACCGAGTCACTGGTGCTTCCTGCTTTAGTTTTTGCTTATAAGCAGGAATCAGGAGGATAGAGTTATGGTCAGATTTGCCAAATGGAGGGCGAGGGAGAGCTTTGTATGCGTCTCTGTGTGTGGAGTAAAGGTGGTCTAGAGTTTTTTTTTCCTCTGGTTGCACATTTAACATGCTGGTAGAAATTAGGTAGAACGGATTGGGAGGATTGGGAACTGTTTCATGCTGGGAAGATTTTTACATGACAAACTACACTGCACTGATGGAGCGGAAATCACAGAAGATAGATGTGGTAGTTGCAGCAGCAGAAAAATATTTGAGTGTGAGAAATTTTAGTGCAGAAGATCTACAGGAAGTTTTGAGAGAAGGGGTTCCATCCTCCCAGTTTTATCATTGTAATGTGATTCAAAACGAGGCAACGGTGTGCTTTAGGACCATGCGGATGCCTCCGAGCGTTCGGGTAGGCTGTGTGGAGTGTTTATCTGACTGGATAAAAAAAGTAAATAATAATAATATTATGTCCTCGTCCCCAGGGTTAGATGGTGGTGCAAGTTTTTCCCTTTCCCCTTTATTTTTTGGTTTTGTCACAATGTGGAATGCACATTCTGAACTGAGAAAGGCAGCAATATTCCAAAAAGCGTCTAGTCTGCCGGAAATTCACAAGAAGAAGCAGAAACAAGGGTGGTTTAACTTACCCCACTCTCCCCTACTGCTCTGCCCTTGAGTTCAGACGTGGCGCCGGGTCTGAACCGTTCTTTATACCTCAGTGGTCTGAACACGGAGGTCCTGGACAACATCACTGCCCATCATCATCTACACCACAGACAGACCCCAATTTCAACCCAACTTATCCTGGTTCGTAACATTTTTCCCCCCCACAGCCAGGCCTATAGTTGTTTCCAGCTATCGTAGATAAGTCAGCTACCAACCATGTTTTTGATTGTGTCTGCCTTAAAAGTTGTCAAGCAAGCTGGCTAAATTAACTAGCTAGCTAACAAATATATTTGATAGGATGCTAACGTACTTCTATCTGGCAATGCTAGCTAGCTATGTCGCTTGCAAACTAGCAATGTTTGAATGGAGCTAACGAAGTTTGACAGTGGTTGCCAGTATGTTGGGTATAACGTTACCAAACCGTGGAGGTATTCAGCTAGTTAACTATAAACATAACTTATGTAGCTTTTTAGCTGTAGTGGAGTGATCTCAGCGACGGTAACGTTAGACCCAGAGCTATCCAATCAAGCTAGCTAGCTAACATTTGATACTGGAAAACAACTTCATTGGTAACTTAGCTAGCTGGCTAGCGTTCGTCCTAATTAAAACCTCTTCTGCCATACTACCCATGTCTGAAAAGTGATTTACGAATGGGTAACTAAAGTTATCTAGCTACTAATAATATTGATGTTGATGTTAGTGCAATGCAATGATGACACATCACCCTGTTCAACTTTGCTGCTACCAGCTAGCTAGCTACCATGATTCAGCCTGTTAACCTTGATAGAGCTGTAAAGTCATTTCTCCCATCAGCTAGTTAGTTATTTTGTCAGTATGTGAGAGTCTTGTGCATATCCATTGCAATTCCACTGTGCATGACATTTTCAGACAGCTTTATTTTCGCGCACACAAAAAAGCAGGTTATTAAGGTTACAATATGTAACTTTTTAGGCGACCTGACCAAATTCACACAGAACTATTAGTTATAGAGCTGTAATTCTCATTGAAAGCAAGTCTAAGATGCTATGTGCGCTATTTCTATGGTTCCAGTTCGTAAGTTTCGTTTTTGCGTCTTTTTACTTTAGGTTTGTACACCAGCTGAAAATACAATATTTTTGGTTATGGAAAATATATTTCACAGCGGTTTAGATGGTACAATGATTTTCTACACTATACTTGCTTGTTTTGTCAAAAACGTAAATTAGAGGAACTATTAGAATTTTAGCAAACAGGAAATGGCAAGCGAAAATTCCACCCAAAAACTATCTTTTGGTATTTGTTTCATTAGTCCATTCTTGATATAGTCCCCAAACTGTTTTGCATGTCAGCAATCAAGTTTTCAAGATGTATAACTTTCAAAATACAGAAATACTGCAGGTATGATGCAAAATGACAGACAGGAAGACTTGTGTACATTTAGCAGGTATCATTACAGTAGGATTATTATTATGCATGTGTGTTTGCACTCTTATTTCAGAAGTCTGAGAAAACATGTGGCAGAAGGCTGCGGGAGCTGCCCTGTTGGCCTTGGCCGTTGGATACTTCTACCACACCAACCCTGAGCTGCCTGAACAAGTTCTCCAGTACTTATCCCTGCCTCATCCATCCATTCAGGGCGAACCAACTTTGGAGCAGGTTATCGCCACTGCCTGGGAGACCCTAATAACTCCTCCCGCCCATCAATGGGGCAGAGTGGCAGTAGGGTGAGTTTCAGAGACAACTGAGCATTCATGATGTCATGATTTAGAGAGTTTGCGGTTTTGGTTTTCATCATTCATCCAACAAAACACTGCGTGTTTACTTTTTCTCTGGCTTCCTCCATTTAGGGTGAATGCGTGTGTGGACGTTGTGGTGTCGGGGATAGGGCTGCTACAAGCTTTGGCTGTGGATCCTGGGATGGGCCGTGACCATGAAGTGTTACACTCTAAAGAGGACCTGAAAGAGGCTTTTATCCACTACATGGAGAGGGGGTCCGCGGCGGAGCGTTTCTTCACCGACAAAGAGGTCTTCCAGAGGATTGCACAGGCCGCTGCAGAGTACCCTGGTGCTCAGGCAAGTTAAAACAGTGTTTCTCCCCATTTTATATCAGGGTCTTGAAAGCTATGATCCTGAAACAAGGTTATATCAGTTATATTCTTCAAGAATCAATGGGTACATATCATTAACTTATGAGCCCAAAAATGGATGTAGCAACTGCTAATGGCCCCTTTTTTTAAAGTGGGCCTAATCACTGATCTGACATGACAGGATTGTCAGAACCCCTGTTTTAAAAAAAGATGCCACCTTGGTTATTCATCAACTATGAGATAGGAGAGCTGAACAGTTTGCCACAACCCAGCATTTGTGAATTTCAGTTGGTTACAATAACAGCAAACTGTTAGGCTATGTCTAGATAACAAACAGTTCACATCTCTCCTTGATCAAGCCTCATCCTGTACCTAAATGAGCAAAAGTGAAGTATCAGCAGTATAAGCAAAACCGTATCAGCAGGATTTCCTATGGGCAGATCGACGATATAAAACCTTATCACCAATATATCACCCAACCGTTAGTTTGGTTTCACATTCTCATGGTCTGTACATCAGATAGTTAATGCTAACAGAAACCAATTTAGCCTAATCCAAGACCTTGTATACATTTGAAATGCATCATCCTTTCTGTACTTGAGGTAATCATCACCAATCCAACATGACTGAATAGGTGAAGGGGTGGTAGGTAGTCAAGAGGTTAGAGAGTGGGGACAAGTAGCTGGAAGGTTACCGGGTCAAATCCTGAACCAGGCAATACAACGTGGAAGATAAACTGGCAAATGTTTTTGTGTGAGGTTGGGAGCAAAGCAGACAAAGGAATTATGTCTCCACAGACAGACTGATAAAGTTGTAGGCCTATTTAAAAAAAATCAGTTCAAGCTGAGCCTAAAAGTTTGATGTATTTTTGGCATCTGTAATTGGCTTTAAGCCGACCCCCCCCCCCCCCCCCCCCCCCTGAAGACGAAGCACTTTTCATTTTGAATAAAGGTTCCATCCAGAGAGGATTGAGTGACTGTGTCAAATTTAATTCTGCATGATCAACAGTAATTAATAATTTCACTGCTGGGCTATCTCTTGGTGCAATGTCTCCTGAGTGGCGCAGTGGTCTAAGGCACTGCATCGCAGTGCTAACTGTGCCACTAGAGATCCTGGTTTGAATCCAGGCTCTGTCGCAGCCGGCCGCGACCGGGAGACTCATGGGCGGCGCACAATTGGCCCAGCGTCGTCCAGGGTAGGGGAGGGAATGGCCGGCAGGGATGTAGCTCAGTTGATAGAGCATGGCGTTTGCAACACCAGGGTTGTGGGTTCGATTCCCACGGGGGGCCAGTATAAAAAAAATATATATATGTATTCACTAACTGTAAGTCGCTCTGGATAAGAGCGTCTGCTAAATGACTAAAATGTAATGTAAATGCAATCGTGGTTATTATGATGGCGTTTTCTAGCAGACTCACTGATAAACCTCAACTCTCTTTTTATCTCTTGCTCTCTCTTTCCCTCGCTCTCTGTCACTAATTAGCTATATGTTGGAGGAAATGCTGCTCTCATTGGACAGAAACTTGCCACATACCCTCAGCTGATGGTAGGTTGGCACTTTCACTCTCTAAACTCCTCACTAGAATGCACACGTTTGTACAAATTCTACTGTTCAGCCACTGTTGAATGGTTATCTGCACAGATCTGAGTTGTGGTTTTTTGGCACATTGAAACTTTGGCAGTTTGTTTTAAATGGAACTGAGGACATTGCCTAACTTGTGAAATGTCCTGAAGTCAGTGACAGTGGAGGTTTCTGTCTTTAATAGGTTCTGCTATGTGGGCCTGTTGGGCCTAAACTACACGAGATGCTGGACGAGCAAATAGTTGTCCCCCCTGAGTCCCTGCAGGAGACTGATGAATATCACCTAATTCTGGAGTACAAAGCAGGTAAGGACCAAGGGCAACCTGAACCACAACTGAAAATAGGTTTTATAAGCTTTTAATAGCTAGGTGATTCATGGAAATGCATTCCTTTCTTACCTCAAGTAGCCTAACTACACTGTCGGCCACTATAAAAATATTTGTAGAAAATGCATGTCTGTCCTTTTGCCTCTCTATCTAGGGGAGCAGTGGGGTGCGACACAGGCTCCCCAAGCCAACCGCTTCATCTTCTCCCATGACGTGTCCAATGGGGAGATGAGAGCGCTGGAGATGTTTGTGGCCAGCCTGGATGAGTTCCAGCCAGACCTGGTGGTCCTGTCCGGTCTGCACATGATGGAGGGCCAGGGGAGGCAGATGTGGGAGCAAAGGCTCAAAGAGGTCTGTAGCAAAGCACAAACAACAGCACAATGATATAGCACATTTAGGGTTCTCGACAGAGTTTTGTCAAACCTTTGTATAGACTGAGCAACACCGATGGTTTGCTTGAACCTTTTCAGGCAGTGGCGACCATTGCTGACGTCCGCAACGCGGTCCCTGTCCACCTGGAGCTGGCAAGCATGACTGACAAAGACTACATGAACAGCATCATGCAAGAGGTAAAGGTGTAGGTTTAACAGTAACTAAAGTACAAGTTTGGCAGAACTCAATATTCTTTTTTTAAAAGGCCTTGTCTGGTTAAAATCGGGATCATATTTGGACGTTGTGATGTCGTCAAAATAGATGATGTCAATTTAAAGTGGATAATAGTGCTGCGCAATAAAGTGCTGTATTGGAGCTGATGCAGACAATAAACCATTTGGTGTTGTGTTCTGTTAGCAGGTCATGCCCATAGTGACCTCTATTGGGCTGAATGAGCAGGAGCTACTTTTCCTCTCCCAGGCCGGCACGGGGCCTCACGCAGAGCTGGCCTCCTGGGGGGGGATACCGGATGTAGGCCGCGTCAGTGACATCCTCCTGTGGGTCCTTGAGCAGCATGGACGCAGCGACCCCGAGTCGGAGGCTGACCTCACGCGTATCCACTTTCACACTCTGGCGTACCATGTCCTTGCCACTGTGGACGGGCACTGGGCCAACCAGGTGGCCGCCGTGGCAGCAGGGGCCCGTGTGGCCAGCATCCAGGCCTGCGGCCTCCAAAGCATAGATACCAGTAAGGTGGTTCTTAAAGCTCCACTGGAGTTCCACAGCTCCCACGGCGAACCGAGAGAGAAGTTGTCCCTGAACCCAACTGAGCCTGTCACTGTTTGGCACCGTGGCAACGTGACCTTTCACCTTGCACCTGTGCTGGTCTGCAAGCAGCCACTCCGGACAGTAGGGCTGGGGGACGCCATCTCAGCAGAGGGGCTCGTATACTCGGAGATCAGGCCACAGCTGCCATTTTTGTGAGCTCCTTTTTTCTTGCACTCTTGTTATTTTATTGTATGGTGGTGTGCACCATATCTCCCCAACCCCACCCAACCAACCAACCAGTGATGTCTTTACCTGTACTGTAGCTTTTTCTTGGGTTGAAATTCTGGTCCTTGGTTAGCTAAGTATTTTGCACCGGGCACAGTTTTTAAGCCATTTCTGTAACTCCAAGGAGTTGTGCTGGGTTACTTCCTATTTCATTTGCCTTGTGAAAATGCAATGTAAATGTTTGTGTACAAAGACAATGCCAAAGCTGCTTGTCAGTTTGGTTTGGAGGGGGGGAAATGGAAAAACATTCAGCAATATGGTCTCTATAAGTAGCGGTGCGATTTCAGACAGAGTTTGAGCTTTCATGCAGCTATCAGGTTGCACGAGAGAGGAGCAAACTCCTGTGCACATGTGCAGACGCTGAACAGTGCCAACGAGTTCAGCCTCTTGCATCACACTCTTTTTGGAAGTTTATTTTCACATCATATCGCTGAGTCTTAGTTCAATTTCCTTCAATAATCTTTCTTGTTGACCCTGTTCAGAACAAGCTCCCTCATCCAAGCACTATTGCATTATAGTTGGGGAAAGTGGGGTAAGTTGAGCCAAGTGGTTAGTTGAGCCACCCCTTGTTTCTAGGAAACCATACACAAAATGTATCATGTGACCAAATATTTAGGAAGTGGTCATAATTTCAGTCTGTGAAGGAAGAAACCACATGGAAAAAGTTGTTTAAAAAAATCTTATTTTCACAGTCAAATTAATTTGTGTTATAGGTTTCATGATGTGTGTATCTAAACCAAAGTAGATTGTTTTATACGTCAATTGGGATTTCTATAAGCTACAATATGAGTTTCTAAACCTAGCATGAAAGTGCATCCTTGTAGCTATGTGAGCTAATATAGTTAAAATGTTTGCCTTGGGGTAAATTGAGCTAATTGCCACCATACCCCATACAGATTATGAATACATTTTGTTAGTTTTATGCACAATATGCATAGTATTTTTGCAATGTGTCAAGCATATGAACTCAAGATAGTGTATTTTTATTGTTACAGCGCAAACATGCCTCGTGTATTCAAACGTAAAACAAGCAGGGGTCTAGCCCCCCTTGAGGTTCTTGAGCGAGCAGCCAAGGAAGGGAAGAAGTACTGTAACTAGGTTTCCAACCAACCTTTTAATGCGAGTAAAGTACATGTTGGATTAAAAAAAAAATCACGACAGTCCTGATGGAAAAGCAAATTTCTTGGTAAACTTTCCAAATGTTGACAAATCAAAATATGCCAGACAAGGTGGGATCTTTTTGTGTTTGTAAAATGTATTATGTGAGAAATGGTGGTGAAAACGCCTTTATGCACAAATGTTGATATAACCATAAGGCGCATTCCTCTGCCCAGGCGTTGCTGCGGCCTGGCAGATCTGGATAGGTATTTTATATATCACCTATACACATACACTACCGGTCAAACGTTTTAGAACACCTACTCATTCAAGGGTTTATCTTTATTTTTACTATAGAATAATAGTGAAGACATCAAAACTATGAAATAACACATATGGAATCATGTGGTAACCAAAAAAGTGTTAAACAAATCAAAATATATTTGAGATTCTTCTAATAGCCACCCTTTGCCTTGATGACAGCTTTGCACACACTTGGCATTCTCTCAACCAGCTTCACCTGGAATGCTTTTCCAACAGTCTTGAAGGAGTTCCCACATATGCTGAGCACTTGTTGGCTGCTTTTCCTTCACTCTGCCGTCCGACTCATCCCAAACCATCTCCATTTGGTTGAGGTCGGGGGATTGTGGAGGCCAGATCATCTGATGCAGCTCTCCTTCTTGGTAAAATAGCCCTTACACCGCCTGGAGGTGTGTTGGGTCATTGTCCTGTTGAAAAACAAATGATAGTCCCACTAAGCCCAAACCAGATGGGATGGCGTATCGCTGCAGAATTTTGTGGTAGCCATGCTGGTTTAGTGTGCCTTGAATTCTAAATAAATCACAGTGTCACCAGCAAAGCACCCCCACACCATAACACCACCTCCTCCATGCTTTACGGTGGGAAATACACATGTGGAGATCATCCATTCACCCACACCGCGTCTCACAAAGACATGGCAGTTGGAACCAAAAATCTCCAATATGGACTCCAGACCAAAGGACAGATTTCCACCGGTCTAATGTCCATTGCTCGTGTCTCTTGGCCTAAGCAAGTCTCTTCTTCTTATTGGTGTCCTTTAGTAATGGTTTCTTTGCAGCAATTCGACCATGAAGGCCTGATCCACACGGTCTCCTCTGAACAGTTGATGTTGAGATGTGTATGTTACTTGAACTCTGTGAAGCATTTATTTGGGCTGCAATTTCTGAGGCTGGTAACTCTAATGAACTTCTCCTCTGCAGCAGAGGTAACTCTGGGTCTTCCATTCCTGTGGCGGTCCTCATGAGAGCCAGTTTCATCATAGCGCTTGATGGTTTTTGCGACTGCACTTGAAACTTTCAAAGTTCTTGAAATGTTCCGTATTGACTGACTGTCGTTTCTCTTTGCTTATTTGAGCTGTTCTTGCCATAATATGGACTTGGTCTTTTACCAAATAGGGCTATCTTCTGTGTACCCCCCCTACCTTGTCACAACACAACTGATTGGCTCAAACGCATTAAGAAATAAATAAATTCCACAAATTAACTTTTAAGAAGGCACACCTGTTAATTTAAATGCATTCCAGGTGACTACCTCATGAAGCTGGTTGAGAGAATGCCAAGAGTGTGCAAAGCTGTCATCAAGGCAACGGGTGGCTATTTGAAGAATCTCAAATATAAAATATATTTTGATTTGTTTAACACTTTCTTGGTTACTACATGATTCCATATGTGTTATTTCATAGTTTTGATGTCTTCACTATTATTCTACAATGTTGAAATTAGTAAAAATAAAGCAAACCCTTGAATGAGTAGGTGTTCTAAAACGTTTGACTGGTAGTGTATGTTATAGCATTCTGTCAGTCGACGACACAGTTGATGACGTGGCTCGCAACCATTGGTTGATGCATGCAATGTCTGAGCAGGGGAACGTGACCAAGGTCTTATCTGACGACATGGAGTCTGACTTGCTAAACATATCAATAATCTCGGGGACCAGTTTTATGGGCTTAGTACCCTAAAATACAGAGAACATGGCTATGAATTGGCACATCGAAATTACTTCCCTGTCCCAGACAACTGCTTAAGAAATGGAATAGTAAGTAGTATTGAACAGAGAGATCTATATCTGAATGTAGGCATACATTTAAGATATACAATATACCACACCCCCATTGCATGAATTAAACTTACCATCACCCACTTACCCCAAGGTGGCTCAACTTACCCTGTCCCTATGCTATGTTTTCAAAACGTACACTATATTTCCCTTGACATAGTGATGCTGAATGTAAAAAATGGCTTTCTCCCCTAATAGAATCTCACAACTACATCCCCTCATTACAATCAACACAACCCGCAGCACCTGTGCAAACTGGGGCAGGAGCTAGAAGTTAACCACCCAGATAGTTTTCTGTAGGGATTTGGTCATTTAGTTTTCATTTGGCCAAATGAATACATTTAATCCATCAATGAAAACACAGTAATGAAGCAAAAACAAATATAGCTTATTTTGGGTTGGCGCTATAACTTAATACTTAAATTAAGGGGTAATAGTTAAGTGCTTCATTCAGGCCTATAGTGTCCCCTTTTTAACAGAGCCTTTACAATTTTCCATCTCATGCAGATGATAGGACCTGTTCAATACCCACAAAGCGCCGTAGGGAGGGTTGTGACTGACATGTCCTATGACACGCACAGCAGACAAGGCTGGTATGGAAGGCTGATCACCCAGACAGGGTTTCCCAAACCCGGTCCTCGGGACCCCAAGGGGTGCACGTTTTGTTTTTTGCCCTAGCACCACACAGCTGATTCAAATAATCAACTAATCATCAAGCTTTGATAATTTGAATCAGCTGTGTAGTGTTAGGGCAAAAGCCAAAACGTGCCCCCCTTGCGGTCCCGAGGCCCGAGTTTGGGAAACGCTGCAGTAGTAGCTCTTTAGCACATCTGATGAGACTGCTATCTATTCTAGTAGTTGGCTGCTTGCTCTTTCAGTCTCTGACTGAATGCGTTGAATGGCTGTAGCACACACAAGCTGTACTCCTACAGCTGTCATGCCATCCACCTCAGCCGGAAATAATATTTGGATCTCCTGTCCGCAATTGCAGACGCACACAAGCATTCCAAGCCCATCTGCATCCTTGACTCACAACTGGTTCAAGCACAGACTGTGAAGTGTAAAGTGTGGCAATGATATACTCCATATTATTGTGAATCGCTACTTTTCGTTCAGCTATTTAGTTAAACTTTAGGGCTGTTTTGTTTGTCCTATGTAGGGTGTGCCACATGGACCATTTTGTTTGTCCTATGTAGGTTATGCCACATGGACAAGTCAACATGTAAATTATACCTGTTACACTGCAACTAATGAAGCCCCTTATTAAAATGCCTACAAAGCGGGATTGTCACAGACAGGGTGCTGTTGGACATTGCACACAGCAGACAGGGCTCTTCAGCACATCTGATGAGAGTACGATCTAGTACTTTGCTGTTGTCCTCTGGCTAGCTGCTTGCTCTAGCCTCTGCCAGTCTCTGACTGAGTGATACAATGAATAATACAAAGATGTACTCCTACGGCTTTGTAGTCTACTCTGCTGCTGTCAGGACATCCACCTCGCAGCCGGTACTATTTTAATCTCCAGTCCACAATGGCGGACATACACAAGCATTCCAAGCCCATCCTCGACTCACAACTGCATCAAGTGCAGAGTGTATGCTGTAAAACCAAGCAATAGAATACTACATCATATTTTTTTTCAGCTATTTTGTTAAGATTTAGGGCTGTCTTGTTTATCCTATGTAGGACATGCCACATGGGCAATTCAACATGTCAATAATTCCTGGTAGAGTACAACTGATTATTTCTACTTCTTGGTGTAAGCCATGTTTATTGGTTTTACCATTATGCATTTATTGGTTTCACTTCACATCAATTGTGACCTTGAGTAATTAAGTAGAGGAAAGATCAATTGTAAAAGTATTTGAACGCTGCATCCATGCTCAAACATCACTTACCTTACCACTTTGCTAAAAATAACTGGAAATAATCTTGTTTGTTTTGATGCCCAAGATACATTTTTGCTTGTTGCTGGGAAACTGAGAATGGGGATGGTACAAAACAGAGCAATCGTAAGCTATGCAGAACTTATTTGTCTTGAATCTCACTGCTTTCTTAGCCTGGTGGGACCAGACAGATCTTATGATAGCTCACATTGTTTCACTTAAATGAAACGTGAGCGTAGCAGTCAGTCTGCTTCATATAGATCCTATTAAATTACTAGAGAGGGCCTATGTCATAAACCCTCAAAGTTCCATAATGGTATGATAATGGCAGCCATTTTGGTCAGGGAGAAATCCAAACCAGTCTATAGATGCGGTAAAGGAGTCAATGGAACGCAGACGTTGACCAGATTGGCGCGCATTCAACAAATCTGATCTAACAGAGGATATTCTTCAAATCCGTCATGATTTATGTATTGTAACAGGCCCACAAT